CAAATAAATTTGTACATTCATCAGAAAACATCTTGATAATGCAGTAAGCTACCGTGTGGCTTAATGGAAATTTATGATCTCAATAGTGAGCGAGTTTTCAAAACTTTGCTCTCACGCCTACTTGCTATAATTTATATTACAGACCTGAATTTCTGATCCTTGGTTGAGAATTCTGAGCAGTTACAGCCTTAACTGATATGAACTCGACCACAACTCAAAACCAAAGCAAAGAAGGAGAAGCCACTTCTCACTTCTCTGGTGTTTTTAAAAAATTATGTGTAAGCACTATAATTAATTAATGTACACACAATTTAGCAATACATAAAGAGTGCGTTCTTTATGAAATGTTCAAGAAATGAACTATACATGTTCAAGCTCACACCCCTCAGCGGTTGATCCAGGGTTTTTCAAATGGGGGAGGGGGGTTAAGAATGGTCAGGGTAAAATGCAGACTGTGGACTGCTGACTGCAGACTGCAAACCGCAGACCGTGGACTGGTAGTAAAATACAGACTAAAGGTAAAATTCAGACTAGCGCAGACCACGAGTAAAATGCAGACTGCGGACTGTAGACTTTTTAAGTGAATCATGTTGCTATTTCCATCATTGAGAGCTAACTGTAAACAGGCTAAATGGAGCATTATTCAGGCTAACCTAAATGATGTTCAGGCTAACAAGAGTGGTCTTTATTCGAACCAGAGTGATTTTCAGGCAAACTTGAGTGCAGACTTTTCACTATGATTAGCCTGAATAACCCTGTTTTAGAGTCAATACTCGATAATGGAAATAACACGATATATTTTTTTCTTCTAAGTCTACATTCTGCCGTCTGCATTTCGCCCCTGGTCAATCTGTAGTCTGCATTTTATCCCCGGTCAGCAGTATGCAGTCTGCAGTCTACAGTCTACATTCTGCATTTTACACTGACCGGGTTGCAGAATCAATGAGGCATGTGCTCAAAATGTTGCAATTTGGAAATTGGAACCTAACTGAAAAATNCCAGGAACACAACACAATGACCCCGGCCAGGGCTCGAACCCGGACCGCTCGATCCGGAGACGAGCGCACTAACCATGAGGCCACCGCGCCTCCCACTAGACAAACTTGAGTGCAGACTTTTCACTGTGACTAGCCTGAATAAGCCTGTTTTAGAGTCAATACTTGATAATGGAAATAATACGTTCTGCCGTCTGCATTTTGCCCCTGGTCGATCTGCAGTCTGTATTTTATCCCTGGTTTGCAGTATGCAGTCTGCAGTCTACAATCTACAGTCTGCATTCTGCATTTTACACTGACCGGGTTGCAGAATCAATGAGGCATGTGCTCAAAATGTTGCAATTTGGAAATTGGAACCTAACTGAAAAATACTAACAATATCCATAGTATAAATTATGTATAGTAGGTTACCTGACCAGATTGTTGGCCTTTTTTCTTACCATAATGATGTTTACAGTCTTTTTTCAATCTTACTCTCCCTCTCCCCTAAATCATCCCCTGATGTGACCCTTAGAAGAACTCGGTAAGGCATGTACATGATGACTTAGGCCATCAGTATTATGTTGATCTAATGCACACTGGAAATGCATATGGCCAGTTGTAGAGTTGTAGTGTTTGCAACTTCATGAAAAGTCTAAATTATGTTTCATGCTTCATTTTAAGCCTATCAGTCAGCTGGTAAAGAA